ATCTGTATATCTGTATTTTAAACAACATCTCTATCAGCGCTGCATACTTCCGGATCGACGATTCGAAAAAGTGTATGTACTGCGCATGACTGGACTACACAGGCAAAGCTCCCCGGTGGAAAAAAAAAAGATTTAAATGTATGGCTCGCATGGCTTACTGGCTTGCATGGCTCGCGCATTGGCTGGCATGACTCGCTGGCTCGCACTTTGTCACGACCCCTTAGTTAGAGGGAGCCTAGACCTACGAACGTCCATACTAATTAGGTCAATCGTCTGAAAATGGAATCGATATTCCCTCACCCGCCCGTAGCAGCAGCACGAATGGAAACTAAGCTAAGCCTCAGCCTGCCCACCTTGGTAAATTTAAATTTGTCACATATTGTAGCGTGATGTTTTTTGGTAGACGGCATATTTATACATGACGTCAACATACACAAGCCACGCCCCTCGGTTGAACCCGTTGTATTTAGCAACTACCATATAGGAGCTATATTTTATCTAAATTAGTCCATCTTGCCAACTCCATCGAGAAAAAAGGGTATCCTAAAATTAGTCACGGATCTCATGAAAGTGACTCTACTATAAACTGAGTCTACCCCAGGAACAGTGAAATTACAATTTCACTGTTCCCTGGTCTACCTCATCATCTATCCTGAAGAATACCAGCCTGGGTTCTCCCTTTAAAAAACACGCCATTCATTCTGCTATGGATTAATGTGAGTATGAGAATTTCTAGAGGTAATTCTTTCTTATTAAAAAAATTAAAAAACCTGCTTATTTGTTGACAACAGCTTTTTAATAAATTATTTTAATAAAGTTATTCACATTTTCGATTATTGCCTTGGAGAAGATGTGCTTTTACATTTCATATGTCTGGCATTCAGCTTGAATAGCCGAAGGAGTCCTTAGGAGGTGGGCTTTACCCAACAAACTTATAAAATGAGAATTCTGCTGTTATAAAATCTTGCGTTGATATGCGTAACCATTCAATTTACTTCATTTATTTAACTATTTCAGAAATATCCGGTTTCTTTTCATACATTTTACTAATGCATTTTCCAGAATCATTCAACTGCATAAAAACAACTATCTAAGGTTACGAAGCATAACATATTATGTTGATCCCGTTATTGTAACACCAAGTATTCAGAAGTAGCAAACAAGCATTTAAATTAGTCAGCCTCGTCATTTATGAGGAAGTACCTCATGAAACAGCCTGTAGTGCAGTAAAATTTTGAATTTGTAATCAAGCGTCATCTTGTTTTGATTTTATATAAATATATATAATTTCCAGTCATCTAGAGGTAATTTTTCTTCAATTTTAGTATA